GTTGGACTCCGGCGGGAACCCCTGATCCAACATGGGCTACCAACCAACCATTGCCAGGTTGAATCACGTCGGGGTCACCAATTTGCATGGGTCTCAGTAGTTTTTGTTCTCGGATCACTACAGGTTGGTGACTCCGACGTCATTCAACCACGCAATCAAACTCCTTCTGATATGGCTGACAACCCCTTCACGAACTTCCAAAAAATTCACCGTACTGTTTTCCCTGAGTCACCCATCGTGTCGCGAATCAAGATTTACGTCTTCAACAAAACTCAGCCATTCATGTCCAGGTCGAACCCTAATCAAGTTAATTTGAACATTTATTCAAATGTGTAACTTACACACCACATCGCCCTATTGTACGAGATATCCATTGGCTCATCGGCGACGAAACCATAATTCGTGAGTCCTTTTAATGATACACTCAACATGCAATTGTGTACGCATCGATGAAGTTTCATACCTTCGACACTGCACGCTATCTCAGTTTTGTGTCTGGAGGACGGCGAGCCTATTTCATTGACGCATTCGTCCGACTCAGCTATCACTGGAAAGCCTTGTGCACGAATTGTCCATTCCTCTTAGCAACTTGCCGATTCATTGGCATACGTTTTTGAGATGCCTTTTCTCCTACCAACGTGTCCACTCACTGGCATCCGTAGTTGAGCTCAAGGACATATTATTTTCTCCTTCCAACGTACCGACTCACTGGTAAACCTTATCGAAATCAGAACAGCACATCCTCCGGCTGATGCCACAACTGAATCTCAGCATAGACTGCAGGCATCGCCCTAGACTCCAACACAAGCAACTACCGTCACCCATGACAAACGCTCCCCAATCTGCATGTGCACTGGATTATTTCCGTCTTTTCAGTGTTCGCTCAAGTTCCACACATTCACTTCGTTCTGCGTCTGGCGGGGAGCTGTGGCGGACGGCTTGTTCCCCCTTTGTTCTCAAGGGCCTGCTGCCCCAAAATCTCGATTTTTGATTGCCAGACCGAAGGTTCAGCGGACTCATTTCCTCCTCTGTTCCCCAGCTGGTTTTCTTCCCGCCTTTTTTAAACTGTTTTTTTTTGTCCAGAATACAAACTGGTAACAATAAACATTTATTTAATCATTTACAAAAATAACATTGAGGGCACAGTTGCTGCGACTGTTTTGGCGGACCAATCAAAATTTGCTACGGCTCACAAACGGCCTTGAGGAGGTGTCCCACGACCGGGCCCGGGTCTTCAATAAAGATCTGCAAACCACCTCTTCCAGGTCTCCCTCAGCTCGTCCAGGAGATAAGGCTTTGTCTGTCCAAGGATGATCGGACGGGGTTTATAGAATGCGGCTGT